AGATCCTTTAGTCCACTGTTGAGCCCCCTTGTTTCTACCACTCATTTCATACTTAATTTGCCTTATGACATTCTTTTTTATTGTTATGTATGGTTATTTAGGAGCCCTGGTGGTGCAGTGGTTAAGAGCTCTGTTGCTAACCAAAGGACAGCAGTTTGAATCCACCAGCCACTCCTTGGAAACCCTATGGGGCAGTTCTACTCTGTCCTATTTGGGTTGCTATGAGTCGACAGCAATGAGGTTATTGTTATTTAACCTTTATATGTGCTTATCTAAATCATACACTTCTTTTTTTTATTGTACTTTAGATGAAGGTTTACAGAACAAATAGTTTCTCATTAAACAGTCAGTACACATATTGTTTTATGACATTGGTTAACAACTCCACGACATGTCAACACTCTCCCTTCTCGACCTTGAGGACTTTGATTTGGTGAAAATATACATAGCCAGAGTTACACCATTTAGAAAGTTTCTACATGTACAATGCAGTGACATCGAGTACGTTCTTCCAGCTGTGCTGCTATTCTCACTATCCTTTTCCAAATTATTCCATCACCATTGTCTTCAACTCACTGTCCCCTAGGCTTCCCATCAAAACTTTTGAGTTGCTGTTGTCAATTTGATCTCACATAGATAATTCTTTTTTTTTTTTATTGTACCTTAGATGAAGGTTTGCAGAACAAATAGTTTCTCATTAAACAGTTAGTATACATATTGCCCTATGACAAGGTTAACAACGCCATGACATGTCAACACTGTCCCTTCTCAACCTTGGGTTCCCTATCACCAGCTTTCCTGTCCCATCCTGCCTTCTGGCCCTTGTCCCTGGACTGTTGTGCCTCGTTAGTCCTGTTTTGTTTTAAGAGACTGTCCAATCCCCAGCTGAATGGTGAACTTCTGGAGGGGCATCATCACTGAGCTAAAAGGGTGTCTGGGGGCCATACTCTCGGGGTTTCTCCAATCTGTCAGGCCAGTAAATCTGGTCTTTTTTTTGTGAGTTAGAATTCTGTTCTACATCCTTTTCCAGCTCTGTCCAGGACTCTCTATTGTGATCCTGGTCAGAGCAGTCAGTGGTGGTAGCCGGGCACCATCTAGCTGTACTGGACTCAATCTGGTGGAGGCCATGGTAGCTGTGGTCCATTAGTCCTTTGGACTAATCTTTTCCTTGTATCTTGTTCTCTTCATTCTCCCTTGATCCTGAAGGGGTGAGACCAGTGGAGTATCTTAGATGGCTGCTCACAGGCTTTTAAGACCCCAGATGCTACTCACCAAGGTAGAATGTAGAACATTGTCTTTATAAACTGTGTTATGCCAATTGAGCTAGATGTTCCCTGAGACCATGGTCCCCACAGTCCTCTGCCCAGCAGTTCAGTCCCTCAGGGAGTTTGGAAGTGTCTATGGAGCTTCCATGACCTTTCCTTGTACAAGTTGTGCTGGCTTCCCCCAGTAACATGTACTGTCTGACCCTTCACCAAAGTTACCACTTACCTGTTTACTTCCACCCCATCCCTCCCATCCCTCATAACCAACAAAGACTGTTTCTTTTTGTGTGTAAACTTTTACATAAGTTATACAATAGAGGTCTCATAGAATCTTTGTCCTTTTGTGATTGACTTATTTCACTCAGCATAATGTCCTCCAGTTTCATCCACGTTATGAGATACTTCACAGATTCGTCATTGTTCTTTATCTTTGTATAATACTTCATTGTATGTACTATAGTTTGTTTATCCATTCTTCTGTTAATGGGCATCTAGGTTGTTTCCATCTTTTTCCTATTGTGAACAGTGCTTCAATGAATATGGGTGTGCGTATGTCTATTAGTGTGACAGCTCTTATTTCTCTAGGATGTATTCCTAGGAGTGGGATTGCATTTTGTAGTGCTTTTTTTTTTTTTTTTTCCTGTGGTGCTGACGTTTTCTTTGTTCCTGTTACTCTCCTGTGCTGAGTTCCTTTTGTTTGTGGACTTTTTTTTCATTTCTTTTGTTCTTGTAGGTTTTGTTTTTACTGATACTTTGTTTTTCTTCTTTGTTTTGAGGAGTACATTTGTTAACTTTCTTCGTGGTTACCTTGAAATTTACCCTTATCTTCCTAGATTTGTACCAGTCTATTATTACTTGGTATCGCTCGACTTCCTCTCCATTAGAAGGTTCTATACTTACACCGTTTATTCCCTCTTTTATTGTTCTGATGCTGTTGTCATTTACAGGTTAACCTCTCTGGTTCCCTTTTGTAATTCTTTTGGTTTTGCCTAGTCCTTAAGAGTTCGTTTCCTAGGTTGGTATCTGGCTAGTACAATCCTGTGTCCTGTATGCAGCCTGTGGTCTGATGTTTTTTGTTCTCAGATCTAAGGACTCCCTTTAATAAGTCTTGTAAGTTTGGTTTGGTTTTTACATAGTTCCTTAATCTTCATTTATCTGGAAATGACCTAATTTCACTGTCGTATGTGAATGAGAGTTTTGCAGGATATATTATTCTTAGCTGGAAATTGTTTTCTTTCAAGGTTTTATATATGTCATCCCATTCCCTTCTTGCCTCCATGGTTTCTGCCAAATAATTCAAGCTTAGTCTTATTGTCTTTCCTCTGTATGTGACTTTTTGTTTTTCTCGAGCTGCTCTCAGGATTCTTTGTTTGTCTTTGGTTTTAGCGAGTGTGATTATGATTTGCCTTGGTGATTTTCTTTTGGGGTCTATCCTATATGGGGTTCATTGAGCTTCTTGGATGGTCAGTTTTTCATCTCTCATGATATTGGGGAATTTTTCTGTCAGCAGTTCTTCCGTGATCCTCTCTGTGTTTTCTATTGTCTCTTCCTGTTCTGGAACTCTGATCACTCACCGATTTTTGCTTTTGATTGTATAATTCTCGGGGTTTCTTCATTTTTCTTCATTCTTTTTCTGATTTTTTCCTCAGAGTTGTATGCAAGTGTTTGTTTTCAATTTCACTGATCCTATCTTCCATCATTTCAAACCTGCTCCTCAGCTCTTCTATGACACTGTCCATTTCTGAAATATTGTTGTTTATCTTTTGGATTTCTAATTGTTTTTGTATGATTTCTAGTTGTGAATTTATTTTAGCATTTTGTTCCTGTATTATTTTCTTGAATTCTTCCATTTTTTGTCTTTATTTTCCATGAATTTTTTTATTTTTTCCTCATTTTTGTCTGTTTTTTTCTTCAACTCTTGGATAATTCTGAATATTAGAGATTTGAATTCCCTATCAGTTAGGTCTAGTGCCTTTTCTTGTACTGGAGGGTCATCTGGTATTTTATTTTGGATGCCTACTGGAACCATCCTGTCTTGTTTTTGTAAATCTTTTGATATTTTCTGCTGTCTTCAGGGCATTCAGGGGTTATTTTCCTCGTTTATTGATTGTAGATTTGTTTGTTTCATCCTGCTTTTTTGTTTTACTTGGTTATGTCTGAGCAGGCAGGCTGTACGTTCTTTGTTGTTTGCTCGTCTGTGGGCATGATACTTTTCACCTTCTTCTCCAATGGGCAGGGTCAGTCACTCAGGTATGGTACAGCAGGGCAAGTCCAGCTGAAGAGGAGTTGCTGGGATGGGTTGTTTGTGGCACATACTAGGGCTGACAGTGCAGACCAGGAATCAGTGCAAGGCAGGTTCCAGTAGGCCGTGCCTGTGTTGCTTGGGAGTGTGATGTTCAGCACACGGTGCAGGTAGATAGGAACTAGGGGATAGATTGTGATGTGTGGAGCTATGATGGGCATGGGAAAGATGAAAGAGAGGAGAGAGGAACAGAAGCCAAAGACATACACACAAACAAAAAAGAGTGCTAAGTGCGCTTGCTATTGGAGTGGAGAGATGAGAGACTGAGAAATGGGGAAAGACAAAAATGAAAAAAAAAGAAAAAGGGTAAAAGAAAAAATGAATAAATCAAGAAACTGGAAATGAATAAAGACAAAAAGGCAATAAGACAGTGAAGAAAACTAAACAAAGAAATGAAAAAAAAAACAAAAAAACAAAAACAAACAAGAAAAAAGAAATGCCTCCAGGGATGTCCCTGTGCGTCTGTGCAGAGTAAGGGACTAGCTTCCAAGCCACGTAGTACTGCCTGGCTAGAAGGGGCTCCCAAGCCAAGAAAGAAAAAGAAACAAAGAAACAAATCAAAACAGAACAAATCAGAGCAAACAAACAAACAAAAAAGCTCCGGGGGTCCCACCAGCATGGCGGTATGGGCCAGGAAGCAGTTTCACAGTCAAGCAGTGTTTCACAGCCTTTCAGGAAGAAGCTAAGATGGTGCACGGAGCCAGGTATTTGAGAGAAAGAAGAGGAAAGTGGTGAGATGCAAGGAAGAAATCTAAAGAAGGGAAAAAAGCAACACCAGCAGCCAACAAATGGCACTCAGGGAGCTGGCCAGTGTGGGCAGGTGGAATCCAAGCAGCGCTGGGGGGAAGCTCGTGCTTCCCAGCCAATAGACTGTGGCTGTAGGAAGCAGAGGAGACTAAATGGCGGTGAAGAAGGGTGGGGGGTGGGAAAGCCTATATTGTAGGTTACCGGTTGTTCTGTCTCCTGCTGGAAGCTCTGTGAAGCTGCTTTCTCATACCTCCTGTTCACTGATCTCTGCTAGGAGTCCAAGATGGCAGATCCGTGCTGTGGTAGCTGATAGGGGACCTCTGCATGTATCTCTCCTCATGCTCTGTTCTCGGTCAGTTTCTTATTCCATTCGGTGCTAGGCTGAGTTCTTTATCTCTTCATTTGATGGTTAGGGTTTCAGAATTGATGTATGACTCTGTTCGACTTAGTTTTTCTAATCTTTGCTGTGGAAGGATGCTGTGGTGCTTCTGACTATAGCGCCATGTTGTCCAGAAGTCTAAATAATACACTTCTTGAGGGCAAAGATCAGAAATGGAATTTTCTCTATATACCCTACAGACATCTGCAGTTAATAGAGGCTGATGAAGGAAAGAATGAAGTTGGTATAATGTGTACCATCGACTGCTACTAATCCTCATGTATTTTTTGTTTATACCTTGCTGTAGGCTTCTTCTTGGGAAATGAAAGGGAAGCAGAGTCAAAACCTTATTCAGGAATGTAAGGCATTGATTCAAGTTGAAACCAACAATAAGAATTCAGATATAATCCTGGTGAGATAAACTTTACTGTCTAAATAACACCTTGAGATTTATTCACATTCATAGAGATTAGAGCGATCTGTAAGTCATTGCACATTAGTGCCTCAAAGCAACTAAAACATCCTTTAGCTGAATAACCCAGTTTTTAGATGAAGAAACATAACTCAGAAAAGTTAGTTAAATTACTTGTCCAAGGCTACACAAACTAATAGGAATGGACCTAGAGCTTTTACCTCCTGACCCCTGTCCATCAGGCTTTCCATTTTAGCTATCAGGATGATAGAGCTCTGCACTAAGTGACTTAGTTATTTTCACTGTGAAAACAAGACGTTTAGATTAGAAGACCACTGAACCCCCTTACTGATTCCTTGGAAGTGAAGGTAAGTAGTAAGTCAGTTACCAGGGCTACAAAGATGAATAAGAGGAGTAAGACACAGTTCCTAACTCAGGTCTAATGGGTAATCATCTAAGAACTGTTCATTTGAATTTACAATTTGGAATTAAGTTCCATATAATCCTACAAATGGTTAATAATCCAGATCAAGCATCTGTACATGATATACTATTCTCAAAAAATTACCATGGATTGGACATGCTTTTACTGTCATACTAGGAGTGACCTCAAGAAATAATTTGTCCTCTTGCCCTGTCCCCATTATTCCCTGTCATCGTATCATTTAATTTGTGAATTATAATTACTTACATTTTAAGAAGGAATTTGAAGGGTTATTGAAAAGTTCCAGAAGTTAATCATAAATGAAGGTGGAAAAAGCTTAATATTAACAATAAAGAGCCCTGGTGGCACAGTGGTCAAGAGCTCTGCTACCATCCAAAATGTCAGCAGTTCAAATCTACCAGCCACTCCTTGGAAACCCGTGGGGCAGTTCTACTCTGCCCTGTAGGGTCTCTATGATTCAAAATTGACAATAGCAGCAGGTTTGGTTTCGTTTAGTGTGATCCAAATTTATTATCTCTGACTCTGTAAAACTTTATTGTGCTGAAATCCTAGTAACTACACACATGTGTGTTCTAGCAGAGTAAGCTTTTCCTCTTTCTACGTGGTCATGTTGAAATTCAGGTACTACACTTCCCATGGTTGTCTTGTTATTGAATCCTTTTTTTTTTTTAATTGTGCTTTAGGTGAAAGTTTACAAAGCAAATTAGTTTCTCATTAAACAGTTAATACACGTATTGTTTTGTGATGTTGGTTGCCAACCCCATGATGTGTCAACACTGCCTTTCTCTACCTCGGATTCCCCATTTCCATTCATCCAGTTTTTCTGTCACTTCCTGCCTTCTCATATGTGCTTTTGGGCTGGTGTGCCCATTTAGTCTTGTAGACATGGTTGAACTACGCATGTTATTGTTTGTTTTATAAGCCTGTCTAATCTTTGGCCATGGTGGTGTAGTGGTTAAGAGCTCGGTTGCTAACCAAAAGATTGGCAGTTCAAGTCCACCAGCCACTCCTTTAAAACTCTGTGGGGCAGTTCTTCTCTGTCCTATAGGATCGTTATGAGTTGGAATCGACTAGACAGCACCTAACAACAAAAACAACAATCTTTGTCTGAAGGGTGAACTTAAGGAGTGACTTCAGTACTGAGTTAAAAGGGTGTCCGAAGCCATACTCCCAGGGTTTCTCCAGTCTCTGTCAGAACAGTAAGCCTGGTCTTTTTTTTGTGTGTTTGCCTTTTGTTCTACATCTTCCTCCCACTCTATCCTGGATCCTCTATTGTGATCCTTGTCAGAGCAGTCAGTTGTGGTAGCCAGGCACCATCTAGTTGTTCTGAACTCAGTCTCTGGAGGCTGTGGTAGTTGTGGTACATTAGCCCTTTGAACTAATCTTTCCCTTGTGTCTTCGGTTTTCTTCATTCTCCTTTGCTCCAAATGTATGGGACCAGTAGATGTATCTTAGATGGCCTCTCACAAGTTTGAAAGCTACTACAGATGCTACCCACAAAGTAGGATGTAGAACATTTTATTTATGAGCTATGTTATGCCAACTGAGCTACATGCCCCCTGAGACCATGGTGCCTAGCCCTCAGCCCAGTAACTTGGTCTCTCAGGGAGATTTGATGTTTCTATGAAGCTTCTATGACTTTACCTTGGTCAAGTTGTGCTGATTTCCCCAGTATTGTGTACTGTCTTACCCTTCACCAAAGTTACCAGTTATCTGTTGTCTAGTTAGTGTTTTTCCCTCCTCACCCTTCCCCTCCCTTGTAACCATCACAGATCATTTCTTTCTATGTGTAAACCTTTTTATGAGTTTTTATAATAGTGGTATGTCATGGATTGAATTATGTCCCCCAAAAATATCTGTCAACTTGGCTGGGTCATGATTCCCAGTATTGTATAATTGTGTACCATTTTGTAATCTGATGTGATTTCTTTATGTGTTGTAAATTCAGTCACTATGATCTAATAAGATGGATTAGCAGCAGTTATACTGATGGTGTCTTAAGGAAATCTCTTTTGAGATATAAAAGAGAGAAGTGAGCAGAGACATATGGGAACCTCATACCACCAAGAAAGCAGTGCTGGGAGCAGAGGGCATCCTTTGGACCTGAGGTTCCTGCGCTGAGAAGCTCCCAGACCAAGGGAAGATTGATGCCACAGACCTTTCTCCAGAGCTGAAAGAGAAAGCGTTTTCTTGGAGCTGACGCCCTGAATTTGAACTTGTACCCTGCTGGACTGTGAGAGAATAAACTTCTCTTTGTTAAAGCCATCCACTTGTGGTATTTCTGCTAGAGCAGCGCTAGATGACTAAGACGTGGTCTCATATGGTATTTCTTCTTTTGTAATTGACTTATTCCACTCAGCATAATGCCCTCCAGATTCATCCATGATGTGAGATGTTTCGAAGATGCATCATTGTTCTTTATCTTTGTGTAGTATTCTATTATGTGTATGTACCATAGTTTGTTTATCCATTCATCTGTTGATGGGCACTTAGGTTGTTTCCAGCTTTTTGCTGTTGTGAACAATGTTGCAGTGAACATGGGTGTGTATACGTCTATTTGTGTGACGGCTCTTATTTCTCTAGGATATATTCCTATGAGTAGGATTGCTAGATCATATGGTATTTCTATTTGTAGCTTTTTAAGGAAGCACCATCTCATTTTCCAAAATGATTGCACCATTTTGCATTCCCACCAGCAATGCAGAAGAGTTTCAATCTCCCTGAAACCTCTCCAGCATTTGTTATTTCCTGTTTATTGATTAGTGCCAGTAATGTTGGGGTGAAATGGTATCTCATTGTGGTTTTGATTTGCATTTCTCTAATAGCTAGTGATTGAGAGCATTTCTTCATGTGTCTGTTAGCTGCCTGAATATCTTCTTTGGTGATGTGTCTGTTCATATTCTTTGCCCATTGTTTAATTTATTATTTGTCTTTCTGTTGTAGAGGTATTGGATTTTCCTGTAGATTTTAGACCCTTGTTGGATATGTCATACTAAAATTTTTTGTCCCAGTCTGTAGGTTCTCTTTTTACTCCTTTGGTGAAATCTTTTGATAAGCGTAAGTGTTTAATTTTTAGAAGATTCCAGTTATCTAGTTTATCTTCCAGTGTTTGTGTATTATTAGTTATGATATGTATCCCATTTATGCCGTACAGTAGGTCCCCTAGTGTTGACCCTAGTGACACAGTGGTTTAGAGCTCAGCTACTAGCCAAAAGATCAGCAGTTTAAATCCAACAGCCACTCCTTGGAAACTCAGTGGGGCAATTCTCCTCTGTCCTATAGGGTCACTGTGAGTTGGAATCCACTCGACGGCAATGGGATTTTTGTTTGTTTGTTTAGTGTTGACCCTATTTTTTCTTCCATAATCTTTATAGTTTTTGGCTTTCTATTTAGGTCTTTGATCCATTTTGAATTAGTTTTTGTGTATGGTTTGAGATATGGGTCCTGTTCCATTTTTTTACAGATGAACATCCAGTTTTGCCAGCACCATTTGTTAAAAATACCGTCTTTTCGCCATTTAAAGGACTTTGGACCATTGTAAAATATCAGGTGACAGTAGTTGGATGGATTTCTGGATTCTGTTCTGTTGGTCAGTGTGTCTGTCGCTGTACCAGTACCAGGCTGTTTTGACTACCGTAGCTGTAGATTAAGTTCTCTGAGTTCAGGTAATACTTTATTGTTCTTCTTCAGTAATGCTTTACTTATCTGTGGCATCTTAACTTTCCATATAAAGTTAATTATTAGTATTTCCATCTCGTTGAAGAATGCTGTTTGTATTTGGATTGGAATTGCATTGTATTTGTAGATTGCTTTGGGTAGAATTGAGATTTTTCACAATGTTGAGTCTGCCTATGCATGAGCATGGTATGTTTTTCCTTTTATGTAGGTCTCTTTTGGTTTCTTGCAGTAGTGTTTTATAATTTTCTTTGTATAGGTCATTTATATACCTGATTATATATATTCCTAGGTATTTTATTTTTTTAGTGACTGTTATAAATGGTATTGCTTTCCTGATTTTCATTTCATAGTTCTCTTTATTGATGTATATGAATCCACCTGATTTTTATATATTTATCTTGTATCCTGCTACTCTCCTGAATCTTTCTATTAGTTCCAGTAGCTTTCTTGTGAAGTCTTTAGGGTTCTCTATGTATAGTATCATATTACCCATGAATAGAGATAGTTTTACTTCTTCCTTACCAATTTGGATGTCCTTTATTTCTTTTTCCTGCCTCACTGCTCTAGCTAGGACTTCCAGCACAATGTTAAATAGGAATGGTGATAAAAGGCATCCTTGTCTTGTTCCTGTTCTCAAGGGGAATGTTTTCAGCCTCTCTCCATTGAGAATGATGTTAGCTGTTGGTTTTGTGTAGATGCCCTTTATTATGTTAAGGAATTTCCTTTCTATTCCTATTTTATTGAGAGTTTTTATCGGGAATGGTGTTGGACTTTATAAAATGCCTTTTCTGTGTCAATAGAGATGTTCATGTGATTCTTTTATTTTATTTTTGTGGTGGATTGCATTGATTGATTTTTCTAATGCTGAACCATCCTT